GCAGTTATGGTCTCTCTTTCTTCCTTTATTGAAATTTGTATACCCAAACATTTAACTAACCACATTTTTCTCAAGTATATATATATATAAATATAAAGAGTTTAACGTTGTATACCATTTAGTTAAGTAGTACTCTATTGAGACAAGGACAACAGGGGGGAGAAACAAAATGACGTAATCTTCTAAAATGTTCATTCATGTTATTTTCTGGAAAACATTTTTAATGAATACTTTATATGCATTCCACAAAATACATCGGTATACCTATTTTTATAATCAGGGTGTATTTTATCAGTCCGATAAACTCGTTAGCAATATAGTCAATATTGACATTTTGTTACATGAATTTTTATCCAATATTTGTACACACATATATATGTGTATACATAGGTAAGCTGTTGATACTAAAATGGTGATATTTCTTGAGAAAAGCGCCTGTTTTTTTTTTACGAAAAAGATACGAATATTTATTTATTTATTTATTTAACAATTATTATTATCTGTTTATTCAACATGACATTTTAAGCAATATAGTCGAGGTGGATTAAGCAATCTTTGCAGCTGTTCTTATTTCCACTGTGTTACGTAATGATTCATGTAACTGTAATTTATTATTATTATTATTATTATTACAGAGGGTTTTTCCTTTTCTTTGCCTAACGACTAGTCTTACATTTTTCCATTGGTATGCAGAAAAAAGATTAATTTGTTTATTTTATTTTATTTATTATTGTTATTGTTTATTTCCTTGGAGTCCGCGAGTGGTGGAACACAGAGATGCAACAACACATCTCCACTTTGATCTGTTTTTTTTTGCCATCGTCTTCAGCTGGGTCCACGACTGACGTAATCTGTCATCTCTTCCTCACATTATCTCCTCCGTTTCACTTCTCACACCCGATGACCCACTCGTCATTTTCCATTGGGATTGCAATCAAGGGTGTGGCCTCCACCAACGTACACCTGATCAATGCATCTGCATTTTCTCCTACATATTTGTTGAGTGATCAGCTGTAGCCTGTTGGTTTGTTCCAACAGCAGAGTTTTGTGTTATCTATTCTTTCTAGCCATTCGATCTTCAGTATGAAGCCAGCGAAGGTGGAAGCTGTTGATGAAAATCTGGAATAGCCTGGTGGAAATTTTTTTTTCGTGATACACACACTCAGTGCAAGTTTCTGATCTGTATAGAAGCATTAACAGACTGACCTCTTCATTTGTATTGATAATAACATTTTTGTGTGTCTGTGGCACAGTAGTTAGGACTCTCGCCGACCATACACATGGTCCGGAGTTCGAGCCCACACCGACGCACACCTGATATCTATGGTCGGCCTGCGAATTTTGTGCTATCGATATCCACGCTGAAAATTCCACACTTGTACCAAAAATACGGTGTAGAATCAAGCTATAATCAAAAATAAAATAAAAAATAAATAAAAATTGTTCCCTTGTGTTTCAAGTGAAACATACGTCTTCAACAACACATTTCCATGTCATCATACTCTTCACAGCTCTCATCTTTTCTTCATATAGTCTATTTTATATTGCCCATAAAAAGAGGTCAAATTCTTCGCTTTCCACCTGGCTTCCATTAGAACGATGGCTTGACACATGCGTGTCCGATCCACCCTGCAATCTCCATTTCCTTCGGAATCTTAGTTGAGAAACAGGTTGTTGATTGGTTCTCTCTCTGCATTGCCAAAGTTTGTTGTTGCTAGTTTTTTCTAGCTAGCGATTTGATCGTTAGAAGTGAGTCAGCAAAGGTACCTACATAAGGCTATTGGAAATATCTTTCGTGATGGGCGCTTAAAGTCTCTTAGACATATACAAGGACTGACTTACTGAAAATCAGAATAATATTGTTTTTTCTGAATGCATACCACTTCTAAGTTGATTTAAGGGTGATGAAGATCGGTGTTGTTCTTAAGATTCTCTTTTGACATTGTCATGTATTCCTCATTGAATTGAAATGATGCTGCCAAGGTAAGGGAGGTGAAAAAAGTGATCTTATTCAAATTTCTCTAGTTGATAGTGACTGGTGATTGTTATTGTTGTTAACTGGTTATAGTCATCAGTTCCATCTTATCCATATTCACTTCAAGTCTTGTATTTGTTGGCTGCTTCTCCTGCCAGCTTTTTTTTTATCTTCGTTTGTAAGTTTTTCAGTTGAAGTGAAGTTAGATCCACGATGTCCAGATCTTCTAGAGTCTCGTTATTAGCCTAACATATTACTAAATCCTCGCTCCGCATGCATAACGTGCTGCATAGTCCAGTCCATCGCAATCGGGAATATTATCTCAGTGGTGATAGCAGGCAACTTTGACTTACTCCTCTATTCCATTCAAAGGCTCTGTTGAGTTTTCTCTTGTGAATGACTTGACCTGTGGCATTGCCAAATAACCAGCTGTTAAATGAAGTCGATAAAGACACAAGGTGCCGCGCTGTATAGTGCTGAAGTGGTTTTCAAATTACTTTCACAGTTAACGATATCGACGGTTTTTTCAAAGTCAGTGAAATTAAGATGGAGATTTCACCGTCATTCTATGCTCTGTCGAATAATGGTGTGTAGAGTTGCTATTTGATCCGCAATTAATTTGCCTTTCCTGAAGCCATCCTGTTCCATTGAGTGGCGGAATTCTGTATCCAAGGCATCTTTTATTCTCTTCGGGATGATGGTTTTTAGTATATTACTTGGCGTGAACAATAGTTTGATCTCACAACAGTTTTTGAAGAGGCCTATGTTACTCTTCTGTGGTAGTTTGACTAGGTAGCCTTTCTTGCAATAGTAAGACACCTTTCCTTCCCTCAAAAGCTTTTGCAGTAATAGCATGAGTACATCTGCGGCAGTCTATGTGTCTGTTTTCAGTGCTTCGAAGGGAATTCCGTCTGGCCCTGCTGCTTTTCCGGTTGGTCTTCATTAGCTTGATTGCATTCAAAATTTATGCTTTCATCAGCGGATTGGTATCCACTGGCAGTTCTGTGCGTACTGTTAATGTTGATGGTATTTCTGAGCGAGTTGCTTTAAAGAGTCCTTTAAAGTTATCAGACCGGTGTTTGATTTGCTTCCTTTGCTTGGTAATTAGGTTCCTTTAACCATCCTTTATAAGTATCATGTGTGTTGATCTCTCCGCGGGTAGGAAGGAATTCAGTTAATCCTCCTGAAAATCTAACAGAGTATTCTTTAAATTTATTATTTAGTTGGTTTTAAAGCACGTTTTGAAAAACATTTAAGTGAGTCTAAGAATCATTGAAAGTCAATGAATTACTGGATATCTCTTTCGTCCTAGTCCATGACTCCTCAGACTGGCGTCAAATTTGATCCTACGAGAGATGACACCGTGTGGACTTTATCGACCACTCATGGAGCCCAGTTGTGACATATATAGCCTCACCGAATATAGTGAATGACATACCAGACACAAGTTATTGTGTGCGTAAGTGTATCACTGTGTTCTCGTTCTTGGTCAATATGAATGTCTTTCATGCAGCGTCTAAATTCATTGTCCTACCTGATGTTGACAACTAAATTCGCTTATTCAACAAACGTGAACACCTGTTGTTCTGAATCGTCAACTAGGTGTGTTTACATTGTAGGTGAATGATAGTGATCCGACTTTTCATTGAATCGTTTCTGTTGGATGTGTTGGGTGTAGACTCAATGAACCAGGATTCAGTTATTAATCTGCCTCTCCACCTACATAGATTACTTCTTAGAATCTTAAACCTCTCCCACCTTAGTGTGTGATTGCATGTTAATGTATGCAGTGTGATTGCTGAGTCTTTTTCTAAATTACTTATCTTGGCGAGTGGGGTCAACCATTCTTACCTTAGCTAAATTCTTATGTTCCGACAATCTGATTACCCCCGATCTACTAGTTTGATCTTTGTAGTCGATCTCGCTAACATTCATTGGAAGGTATTTTGTAAATTATATTATTTTGTCTTATTGGGTCAACCTACAGGGTGCTTTATCCTGCAAAGCTTGTTCTACCTGAGTGAGTTTGTTGGTTTGAATGTGACTCTAATTCCTGCTTTATTAAAAGTCTTACATAGGGTCTCAGATGTCCCCTCCTCATATGGTATAACAATAAATGTCTTATATTCTTTCTTATTTATGTTACCATCATTATTAGTTTCACCATTATTTTTGTTTGTTTGTGACCTTTATCGATCTTCCTAATGAATTTTAAATAATAAATAATTGTTCCTTCACGTTCCCAGTGGAACATAGGGCTCCAAGCTTGTGGCTTGAAGTTTCTGTAGCAGTGTTTAGTTTTTACAGGATGGGGTTGCTAGCCTCATGCCCAACCTTTCCTCTTTACTAGCATTATTTCTGGCTCAGTGAGGTAAAGGAGTGCGCCGGCCAGGGATCGAACCCCGGACCATATGCATGGTCGGCGAGCGTACTAACCACTATACCACCGACGCACACCCTAATCAATTTTAAAGGATAGTTATTTAACACCAACGCCTCTTATTCTGTCTGTTGCATTTCATCGTTTAGGTTTTTTGTTGTACTACTCAGTGCTATGGCTCGGTTTGTTAGACACTTCACTAAGCCCGCCTTAACAGTTAACGGATGAGACGACTTAAAGTCTAAGTATCTATTAGAATGCGTTGGTTTGCTACGAACACTAGTGTGTAGTTTGCCTTCTTCTATTCGTTTTATTTAACAATCTAACATCATTGCTAATTCTCCTTGTTTATTTTCCGATTCAAATGTGAATTATATTCCATCTGACTAGTCCTAAATAGGACGAATTAGACATCATACAATCACTATTAACAGAAACGACTACAAAATAATCCTTCAATGTCAATGAAGCATCCGTATAAAAAGTGTGAATTAATCTAAAATAAAGAGAATAAATACCACTGAAAAATTGCAGTTTCATTTTCATTCAAATATCATTCTTTAATCTGTTTTAAAAAAAATCCTGATTATAAACTAATATTTCCTGTTTTTTTATTTTTTCATTATTTCGCCAATCTTTTCACAGATATTATTCACAGTTCTGTTCAACTTTGAAGCTGTTTTTAAAATTTGGTGTTTAGGCTGGTCAAACTATTGGCACAGATCATTGTTTAAATTTGAATTATTTCTATGCATTGGGACAACAATTCATTGTATACCATTGCTGTATCGTACAGAATTCACCTACTTAGCTGTAAGTTAATGAATAAAAATCATTTAAAAGTACATTGTTTATGTCTCTTACTTCATATTTATAAAGAATAACAAGTATATGAGATCCCCGATTCGTGATGCGATCCTGACAGGATAGCGTTTGCTTCCATCTTGATATCTGTGAAAGCCTTATTCTGATGAGTATTTTTGTTTTTTTTCATCGTAAGTATGGGGTTTTTAGTGAGTAATAGCCTTTTATTCTTAAGAATAGTATAAACGTATGAAACAGTAGTATTAATGAGGAGAGAGGAATGAAATATACTTACAAATTAGTAAACTTGAAAATCCCCATTTAGTCATATGAAAAAGAGAAGACGTTCAGCGAAGAGACTCTTTTCGGCGAATTCATTCACATAGCTGGACAATCGCATTTATATATAATTATTTGTGTGTGTGTGTACATGAGGTTTGTCAAAATTAGATAATTGATCAGGTAATAAAAGAATGATCTAATATAGAAACAAGGTTAATTGGACAGCAACTAAAATAAGATTGAGTTAGTAAGTTAGATGACGTAATACAATTGACTAAAATGTTTTAACTTAGGTCAGAGTAGCAACAGAGGTAATTACAGGTAGAGACTAAGTAGAAGTGGGGTAGATAATAATGCCATTTAAATTAGAAATGAAATTGAGCAATTAGGTTGGATGACGTAACATAAATGACTAGAAATTGAGCGTTGGTCAGGTCAATTAAAGTGGTAGTGAGGTGTAGAAATTAAATCGGGTGGGGGGGGGGTAGAGAACAAGAAAGTTGGAAATGCAAAATATTACAATTAAGAAGACAGAATAATACCAATGACGAGACAGAAAAAAAAGAAAAATATTAGGTAGAATTTACCTTTCAGGTAATAAGGTAGGTTAAGTCCATTGTAAGTGTAGTGATTGAACGAACCTCTTCTGTATGCAGAGTTCAGGGCTTAGCAATCTTACTTTAGTTGCTGTCCAATTAACCTTGTTTCTATATTAGATCATTCTTTTATTGCCTGATCAATTATCTAATTTTGACAAACCTCATGTACACACACACACAAGTAATTATATATAAATGCGATTGTCCAGCTATGTGAATGAATTCGCCGAAAAGAGTCTCTTCGCTGAACGTCTTCTCTTTTTCAAATTAGTAAACAACATATCTAAAGACATTAAATTCACAAAAAAGTAGAATTAGGTGTGTTAATTTAACAATAGAACTAACATAAATAGTCACTTACAACAGCAATAACCAAATAACATCCAAAAAGAGTAGCATACAAACGTTATTCAAGAGAGCCAGGACTCATTGCAGCAGCCCTGCCTTGAGGAAAACTGAATTAAAATAACTTATGGATATCTTCTAAAAAAAAATTGATATCCATGAAGCGTCAGCAAAAGACATCTCCCACACCCGCACCAACCAAATTAAAGGAGCTCAATGAAAACACAAAGAAAATTGCCCCACTAAACATGAAAAGTATCTCCGAAATCGCTGCAAGACTATTCAAGCCTGCTGAAACTAGTATTGCACACACACGAAGAAAGTCGCTTCATTTGGCTTTATGTCAGCCAGACGAATCAACAGGGAAAGAAAATAAAACTAATATCATCCACAAGATAAATTGCAACGACAGTAGAAAACATTGCTTCAGTCAAAGCGGACACCCTTTTCCACTGCGTATCCATGAAATAAACTTAGCTGTCAAAAGACACAATGTTCACTTCCTCATATCACTGAATACAGACAACCGCAGACATCAGTTACGGAGAAGAGACACCGAAAATGCCAAAGGATTTCTAGAAGCCTGGTGTTCAAGTGAACAATCAACAATCAATGAACACATTGACAAAGACAAGATTTATCAATCCATGAGAACGAAATCACATGAACGCTAGGTTGAACTTAAAATTGACGAAATAACCAATGCCAATAAAGGTAGACTAGAAAGTAAGAAAGCACATAAGAACAACCAATCACTTTCTAGATTTCCACCAGGTGAGATGACTAATAAACTCATGGAAAAATTTAAAAGCCTTATTCAAACTGTAATATCAGTTTCGGATGTTGTCTAGTAAGTAAGGCAGTGAAAGTTTTGCAAGCAAATCGTCTGACTTGGACAACAGAAACACACTGGAATAATCCACCTAAACTACAAAGTCTCTCCATTATACAAAAAGGATTTTCTTATCCCAGTGAGAGTTTCTCTAGTAGGATATACCTATAATGCCATTCTGGATTGTACCCACAAAGCCTCACGCTACTCACCCACTGAGTCAACAGTTCTAATTGATGTGGTAATGTGTGTAGGTTAAACTAAGCTTATGTCCATGCATTTACCATTAAAAATGGCGCTGCAAATTAAATTCTACTAAGCCTTTTCAGAGACTCCTCCGAGAATGCCTAATCGAGTAGTATTCAGCTTATCATTCAATACTGATCTGTTTGCTGTACAGATCACACAATAAAACACGATTAAACACTGGATGACACTTCATACATGATTTATCGTTCGTAAGTATATCACAGGTGTGAAATTTCGTTTTAATAATTCTAGTACTTTTACTCCATTTGTCATAGAAGTGATAGAATTTTACAGATATCTGGGGCACGTTTTGGATCATTCTCACTGCAAGTGTTCACAGTTGATTCGATAAAAAAAGCCGCAGTTACCAAACTCTCTTTCCACCCTGCTGAGTTACTTTTTCACATTATCTGTCCGTCACATTTTATAATACGGTTTTATATTATTATTATTATTATTACTTTCATGTAGTTGCGCTCTCTGAGCTGAATGGTTTATTTGCGAAGCCTTTCTTACCCTTCTAGGCAACAACTTCAGCGCATACTTCAATTGGAATCGAAGTGAGCTTTTACATTTCTCCTGTCTGTCTGTCTGTCTGTCTGTCTGTTTTCGACATAGAACTTTGCACAAATGTGCGGAAGTTCAAGTCGCCACATTCCGTGTAGCACGCGAAGCAAGAGAAGAAAGTACAAGAAAAGCATAATAGAAACAGTGGGCAGAGGTGTGAGACAAAGGAGTAATAAAGAAATACAAAACAGTTTCATTGGAGATCATAAGTCACAAGGAGTGGATGCATCTGCGCTGGCCACTGAGAACGGTTTTGAGCCATGTCACCAATTGTTTCCAACCATAGATTTTTACCGTCCCGAGGACCCCAGCCTGGAAGTCTACACCTTCCTACGTGGCTTAGACCAACTGTTGTGGATTTCATAGACTGATGCCAAGTTTTTGTTTGACCGCCGCTAGCTTTTTTCCAGCCTGACCCTATATCCGCTAACATTGCTCGTCGAGTTTATCAGTCATCTCTTCTGATGGGCGGTCGTGAACGTGTTTGGTTGTTTTTGTGTGTTTTCACACCCTCTAGGCTACTTGTATTGGAACCGATTGTTTCCTTGACTTGAACTTTGATCCTTTGTGTGTGAAACTTCCTTCTTGTTGGTTAGCAAATTTTGTCTATGTCGATGCGTCTATTCACTGACAATTCAGTGGAATACCAGGCAGGTTTCTACAAATTCTCTAGCAACCTTGGTGTCTGCTCTGTCTGATATTTGAACGCTGGTTGTCTCAGTCGAAATGATGTCCGTGGTTGTCTGTATGCAGTGAGTAATATGAGGAAAGGAGTGGATGTCATGTCTTTTGACGCCTAGCTTATGTTCATGGATACGAAGTCGAAGGGGACGTCCCCTTTGGCCAATTCAGTGTTTTTCGCAGATGATGTTGGTTTTATCTTCTTTCGTTGCTGAGTCTTTTGCTTGATATAGAGCCAGCTGAGTAAAGTGATTTTGTTGGTTTGTGTGAGACATCAGTTCCTAAAGGTTTGAAGAGTCTTGTAGTGATTTCCGAGATGTCCTTTATATATTGTAGGACCAGTTAATATACACGTTTTCATAGCTTTGTTCTTTTCCAATAGTAAAGGAATTTGATGAAGATCCTTAGCTATAGGGTCAAAGCCATTTGTTCAGAAGATGAGATAGAATATAAACTTAAGTCCGACACGTTAACTGTAAAACGCCAACCCTGAAATCTTCATCACTAAACATACAGTCAAGAAAGTTGGAAGAAATCCCCATGTATTTGTTAACAAGAGGCCTCTGTATAAACGACTACAATTCAAAGCTGATATACCAAATAAAATAATCGCTCTTCAATTTTCCAAAATTATGCATTATGCAATCCACGTGTTGTAACCATTTCCACCTTTTAATTATATATATTAATTTTTCTTCGCCAAATAAAAGAATCACCAAAAAGTTGAGAAAATCAACTCACTCAAAAAACGTCCAATATCAGTGAGCTGAAGTTTATATTTTTTACACGACCGATTGGGATTCCCCAACTAAAAAGAAGGATTACCTGGGCTAGTTACTTCTGATTCTATCGATCCGTTCAATTGCCCTTTGAAGCCAGTTTTAATGGCTTTCGCTCTCGGAATCGAAATTTTCCTACCCGAGAACACCTACCAGTGTGGTTAATTCGAGGTGTTGTTAAAACAGTCGACAGTCCTATACGAGATCACCTCGTGCAAAAAGGCCACTGAAGAAAAATCTTCTCCTATCATCTGCCTGGTACCGGATAAAAAGTTACCAAATACCTCTAGTTACTGAACACTCCAAACAGAAGAGGCCATGGGAATTCACGTAAGCCGGTCTGGTTGCAAAAGAAGCAAGTACAGTCACTGCTGCTATCCTGGTCTGGTGTGCAGCCTATAAATTCATAAATTCTGTCTTACTTTCCTTAATTTATCTGATATTGAATCAGCTTAGTGTTCTATTTGTGCATATTATCTCTCCCTCTCTCTCTCTTACTGATCCTTTTGAAAAGAAATCAATCAGTACTATGAAGAAGGAGTTATCAAAGAGAATATTTTTTGTTCATGAATCGGTCTTTTAAATTATACTGCTCAGAAAAGCTACAATTATCAGCTAGAAGCAGTAATGTGGCATAACAAGATGTGAAAATAGAATTCCCCTGGAAACGAGGAGTTTAACAGTTCCAAATCGCATTATGAGGGATTACTGGACTCTTACTGAAGACTGACTATCCCAGGACACCTAACTAGACAACTTATTAGGTAGTACAATCTAAAATACAAATATTTACCTCAATATTATGAGGTCATTGTACAGGAAACCGAAAAATGGTTTATAATATATTTATCATTATTACTCTTTCCTTGGGTTCCCAGTGGAACAAATAGCTTCAACAGCACATCTCTAATTTGTTTTATTTCCTGCTCTCCTCTTCGACTGGCCGCATGATTGTCCATAATCTCTCATCTCCTCCATGTTACCTTCGAATACACGCCAAACTCTTCAACTTCCATTTTGAAATAGTGGCATGAGCACATCTGAACAGTGCCTAAATCCGTTTCGCCTTCTTGCCTTCCTGGATTTCCACTGACAGTTCCACGCCTTTTGTTGGTTGCATTTCTGGGTGAGTCGCAAGTGATGATGATCCATCCAAGAGTCCTTTGAAGTGATCAAACCATGGCCTTATTTGCCTCTTCTCCTTGGAAATTAATTTCACTGGACCACCTTCTGTATGTCTCGCCTGAGTTGATCTTTTTTTTGGATACAGACCTAGTTATCTGATATAATGTCCTGAGGTATATTTTACCTGCGGCCTACCTGTCTGTCTGTCTATTCTGCTTAAGTTGCCAGCTACCAGTGTGTCTTGATTTTGTCTTTTGTCTCTTCTTCACCTCTGTCTTCATTCACTGCAGTGTACATAGCTGTGAACTCAGCTTCTCCGTATGTTGCCCATCTTAGCATTGAGTCATCCTCTGTGTTTCATGACTATCCTCCTTACTTCTACTAGCTTACAGATGTCCGTCCAACAGGGGTTTAGAATCTCACAGAGGTTTTACTCATGGAAATAGTGAACAGTTCAGGCTTCAACTTCCTGCCAACGCACACCTGATATCAATGTTCGGCCTGCAAAATTTGAACTACCGATAGCATATGCTGAAAATTCCAAACCTGTACCAAAACAAGTTGTGGAATCAAGCTATAATCAAAATAATAAAAAATTATGATTATTTCCAATACTGCAATCCACTAATGTTCACCTATTTGTTCATCGCATATCCCACTGACTGTATAATTGATTCACAGAGAGCTAATTTTGTCCTTATTCTGTGTCTGTAAACAAAACTGTGCACATATCATTATTTATTTTTCAATTATTATTATTATTGTTCCCATTCCTAAATGATTATTCACTGCATTTCCTTTAAAATTACAGCCCATCTGTATTGTGTATCTATTCTGTCGTCACCAGTAAGATTTACTTCCATCCAAATACTTGGATTTATTATTATGGCATTGTTATTTCCCTGGTTTCCGAGTGGAATGTAAAGCTTTCACAACACATCTCCTTTTCATCATGTCCCCTACTGTCCCCTTCATCTGGCTGCGTGATTGCCTGTAATCTCTCATCGTCTCCCCACACGATGTCCTGTCTATGTCACCCTCACACGGACTACCCACTTGTCTCTTCCCATTCGCATTCCACTTGAGCGATGACCTGAATTGAGCACGATATCATTCAACATCCTCCTCAATGTATGCCCAATCCAACTCGATTTTCTCCTGTATATATCTGCTATGCAATCGGCTCTCGCCCGTTGATTTGTTGCCAGTCAGAGTTTCTTTTAGTTAATTCTTTCTGACTAATGTTGACTAATTGTTTCTTGTGCGTCGGTGGCATAGCGGTTAGGACGCTTGCAGAACATGCACATGGTCCGGGGTTCGATCCCCCGCCACAGACGCACTCCTTTACCTCGCTAAGCCAGAAAAAATGCTGGTAAATAGCAAAGGTTGGGAATGAGGCTCGCAACCCCATCCTGACAAATAAACACTGCTACGGAAACTTCAAGCCAATAGCTTGGAGCCCTCTGTTCCACTGGGGAACGTGAAGGAAAAAAATTCTTTCTGACCGGGTGGCTACCTGGACATTTGATCTTCATTATGAAGCCAGAGAATCGGGCAGCCGTTGGCTAAAGCCTATAACTTGTTGGAAATCCTTTCCATGACACGCCGACTAGGTTTCTGACTCTTATAGAAGTAATGACTAACTGACTTCACCCGTGTGTTGAATAGAATCCGAATGTTGTTATTTATGCTGAGGGTGAGTGACAGCAGAAAATCTCCAAACTGCTCTGAGGTTGATGAAGGTGTGTCATGACTTCCTGATCCCGGTTGAATAGCTTTGACGTCTCCATCTGTCCCGTCGGCGTGTGGTTTAAACTGTGCTTCCTTGCTGGATAAGTGAATAAAGTAACTTCTTTCACATCTCTCCGGTTGATGGTGATTGGTACTGATTGTTGTTGCTGTTGGTCTTACTCAAAACCTTTATTTTCTCCCTGTGTCTTCGCTTCTTCGGCCACTGGTTTGTTGATTTCCACCTGCAACTGACATTAGACATTATATTTAGATAATTCAGAAGTTTGAAACAGAGGGAACTTCAAAAATGCGCCTAGGCAATTTCTACTAGCCTGGTACTCAAGTGAATTATCACTTAACAAGTGCATTACTATGGTCCAAATTTACAAGCTAATAAATAAAAAGCGAATCACATAACAAGAAAGTTCGAATTCCAAGTCAATTAAAATACTGTCGATAGGGATGTAAATTAATAACCAATCACGACACATTAGTTGCCAGGAAATATGATTACATCATTCATGGAGAATTCAAATTAGTCCATTTCATACTAAAACCTGCACTGAAGATGTTGTCTAGAAAAAGGACAACGAAAGCTTCGCAATTAATTCATCATCAACCAGCTCACAGAACACAACTCATTCAGTATCATCCAATTGAGCTACAAATCTCCTCCATTATGCATATAAGTATAAAACTTGTGCACTGTGGTGGTAGAGTATAACTCCATTATGGATAAGATTCTAGTTTGATAAATCACACAGTTTTGTTATACAGGAATATTAACTGATGACCACGTTTCGAGCACTATCTATTACTGCTCATAATCATATCAAGGTACTCACACAACTTTCTTGCTTCATTTATAAACATGCTTGGAATTGATATTTAAATGATAATATGAGCGTTATTGATCAATTACAATAAGATGGGAAATAAGACGAGTGCCTTTATAGTCAAAATAAGTAACTTGTTAGAATGTTATGATGTACGTGAATTGGGTTGAAATGGAATTTTAAGATTATTTATTATCCTCCTCTGGTTTGACGGACTGACTGGTGGTAATAATATCTTCCATGCATATCTCTGGTTGGTTGTAGACTCGATGAACAAGGATTCAGCAATCAACCTGTCTCTCCACCTACCTAGATTACTTTTTACAGTTCTAACACTCTCCCAATTACCCTATTGTGTGGTTGTTTGTTAATATATTCAGTGTAATCACTGAGCTTTGTTCTAAAATAACTCCTCCTATTTTCCGACAATCTGACTACCCTCGGCCTACTAGTTTGACCTATGTAGTTGACCTCGCTAACAGTCATTGGAAGGTATTTTGTAAATTATATCAATTTGTTTTATTGGGTCCACCGGGTCTTTTAGCCATTCTGTTTATTAGTGTTCAACATTTATTCGTCTTTAAAAGAAATGCATCTAAAATTTGCATTTAAGCTCTAATCTTCTCATACTGATTATTATTCATTTTCTATTTCAGGTTCTACGTATTGTACGCTTAATCAAAGCTTCTCCAATGTTAGAAGATTTTTGTTTCAAGGTAAGCTGTCAATCAATGGTTTTCTTCTAAATAACTCAACATTTTCAAGTATTGGTTTTGTAGGCAATGCTGTTTGATTGGCTAGAGGGTTTCATCATGCGCTGAAATCAGTTAGAGCATCGCTAGAAAACTTGATAGTACTGAACAGCTAATTCTCTCGGCCTAGTCTAGGACTCTTCATCAGTAGGCACCCATTGGGTTCCAGTCAGGGACCATGGTGACCATCGTCATAATGATGATGATCACGATGAAATCCTCAAACCAATCAGACAAAATTCCCTACAAAACCAATACTTGAAAACTGATCTGTTGGTCACTAGCAACTGGCCTTATTCAGGCAGGCAGTTACCTGGGTTCTAGTGGGAAGCCGTGACCAATTTGAAGGTGAAGCAGTAACTTATCGAAGAAGACATTGAGAAGTGGCCGCATTATATCATGAACTGGCAGAAGTTAGAATTCACAGACTGGCCATTGGATCGGATCTCAGTGGCTTAATGGTCTATGCGATATCTCGCTGGCCTTGTAACCAGAAGGTCCTGAGTTCGAACCATAGTGGTGGGTGCGTACTGCTGAATAGTCTTAAACTAGGACGAAACATCTGTCCTGCACTTTCATGTTTATTCTATCGTTCTACTGTAATAAATTTGTCATTCTTGTCTGGAGCTAGAAGTGGACCATCGTTAGTATAATATGGGGTGTATGAATTAGTTTTATAAGCGCTGAATTAGCATTAATATAGGGGCACTACATACCCTCTCAATCACTTCTCATCAAAGCTTTACAGATATATAGTGGGCTCTAAAATGTCATGGTAATCCCTATAAAGGTCACTTGATTGTATATATATATATATATATATATGAAATTACATATCAAGGAAGAAAATTAAATGATTAAACTGGAAAACTTGGTGGTCTTCTGTCTGTTTTCGACATAGAACTTTGCACCGATGTCCACCAGTTCAAGTCGCCAAACTACATGTACCGCACAAAGCAAGAGAAGAAAGTAGAAGAAATGCATAATACACAGAGTAAGTTGAGGTGTGAGACAAAGGAATAATAATAATGAAGAACAATATAGTTTCAATGGAAATCGTAAGTCACAAGGAGTGGATGAATCCCCGCCAGCCACTGAGAACGACAGTTTTGATCCATATCACCAATTGTTTCCAGCCATTGGTTTTTATCGTCCCGACGACCCCAACCAGTCAGGAAGTTTACACCTTCCTAAGTGGCTTAAACTAACTGTTGTGGATTTCGTTGACTGGTGAAGCCATGTTTTGGTTTGTCCGCCGCCAGCTCTTTTCCAGCCTGACCCTATGTCAGCTAACATTGCCTGTCGGGGAGGGCGGTGGCTAGGAATGCCTAACACACGTCCTAACTGTCTCAGTCTATGTAACTTCACAAAACTTTTTGAATATTATTTTTGCATACTGTAACGTCGCTTTTGTGATAAAGGTAGAAAATGGTACACTTGTCAATATTCTCCAGTTGACTAGCTTTTTATGAACGCAAGAGGATGAAGGAGGGCTAAATAGCCAAAACTGACTCGTTGAACGCACGTTTGAATAAAGGACACCGATTTTTGTATCCCAATGGCATAACGGACGAAAAGTTATTTAAGAAATGACAGCAAGAAGACGATTATTCTTCGTTAGATCTACGTGCAGTTCTATTGAACAACAATAATAATGATATCAAGAACTCAAAATTACGTCAACAGTGCAGTACTAGATAACTTTTCTTTTACGAAATAAACATTTAGAATCAATATGAATACTGCCGACAAAGTGGAAGCAAATCTCTGTCCACAACAATCAGGCACCAATAACTCCTCTAAACAGTCTTAGGTGTAAATCACTCTTGAATACTCAAAAAAGAAACTGTCGAAAACAGATAGACAGGCAGACCTGAAAAATCACACCATAAAACAAAACAATATCAGTGTCATCACACAACCAGAAACAGAAGCATCAAAACAACAGTATGTGATATGCGAATGTTACTTCATGCTGGGGGGGGTATTGGGATGATCATATCTAATTCTGTTCTAGCGCATCATTCCTATTCAGACAATTTGGATTCCATTAAAGTTAAAGTGCTTCTCTGATTTGAGATAATCTTTGTAATTTCTAAGCTTTTCCTGGATAATTTCATTATTCATAAGTAAAAACACAGGTCTTTTTTGTTCAGCGAAGAAATTTCTTTTCAACAACTTCATTTTGAAGCCAACTAACTGTACAGTCGTATTTATATTACAGAAAAAGGTGGTTATTAAGTGGCACTAAATAATTGCTCAGTCAATGTACGTATATATGTGATAAAAGTTATAAGGGGTAGAGTTGAAGTGGATAAATTACAAAAATATGAAAGATTGTTCTATAACAAAAATGTCAAGTGTTGTCTAAAAATTTTGAAAATTAGGAGTACGATTACGATAAGAATGAAGATGTGTAGTGAAGTAGAAAGAATTCAAGTGGTAAAATAAAATAAAAACTAGAAAGAACATTATTATGACCAAGGTAAAAAAAGGGGTTTGACAAAATGCTTTTGAACACATAATTTAGGTTTCTGTTCATGTATAGCTATAAAGCTTCGGCTATGCATAAGTGAAGAAAACGTAAACTTTTGGATCGATTCGATTTTGCCATGTAGATAACTTTGAAAGATGAATCACGTGGGGCTAAATGACCAGACTCTAACAGGTGATCACAAATAGACGACTTTGCAGTTCTACGTTCGCCTTTGATTAACCGAACCGGATAGTGTTCAGCTACACGTTTTCGGAGATTACGCTTACAACGTCCAATATAAACAGCTTCACAAGAGCAAGTAAAAGAGTAAATGCACATAGATTATTGTCTAAATGAAAATTTATGATCTGATTCTATTGTGCTTAGTAGATCTATGACTGACGATTTTCCAAGTTTTTCTAGTTCTAGGTTGAATATAGGCTCTACGGTGTTCATTTCTTCTCATCTTAATTTCTATCTGGCTAAGTTTGTCCAATGTATATCGCATCACATACACATCCGAGCATTTTATTTTATAAACACAGTCCGATTAGGAATCCCTTGGAATTCGGCCTTTCACATAAAAAGGTTGCTTTTTAGTGTGTTTGATGCTTTGAAGAATACTCTGATTTTGTATTCACTGATCGCCTTTCTCATATTGTCTGAGGTTTCTATTCCATATGGAATGACAACTGTTAAGATTCAAGCCTTCGGAAATATGCTTTCTACCATGTTCAATGTTGGTGTTGGTTTTGGTGATGAAGTTCTTTGGATAGTTACAGTTCTTTCTTGAAAATCTCAGTAATATTTAATATTCCTTTTTTCTTTATCTCTCATCCGTTATTATCAAAGAGTGCGTCCGCCTAAGGAAAATTCAACCAACGCATACCTTTGCACTGATGGGGGTGTAATGATCTGAAGTTTAAATATCTGTTAGAGTGTGTTCTCTTCCTTAACATGGATATAATATAATATCCATTTTCTTATCTTTTAACTAGGCAGCCCCTATAAAAGGCAGCTCAATGAAGTCTGATTCTGCCTGAAGACTAAACTGGATGCTGAGAGATAAATTTTTCAATTTCTCCATGAATGGACTGAATAGGTCTCGTTTCACTGCAACAAAAGTGTCATCAGCGTATTTCAGACACATTTAAGGTGTTAGTATATTTGGGAAGATGTTATCTCTAAATGTACTCGTGAAACACACATTTTTACAAACTATTTAAAGTATACCCGGTTCGGAATCCATTATGGATAAAATTTCATTCTGATAAAATGACACAATGTTGTACAGTAATATTTACTGAAGATTACATTTCGAGCACAAAATTATTGCTCATAATCAAGGAATACGGTGGATCCAATTAGACAAAATAATGTGATTTATTTATTTTTATTTTTTTATTTTTGATTACAGCTTCATTCCACACCGTATTTTTGAGACAAGTGTGGAATTTTCAGCATGGATATCGGTAGCCCAAAATTCGCAGGCCGACCATAGATATCCGGTGTGCGTCGGCGTGGGCTCGAACCCCGGACCATGTGCATGGTCGGCGAGAGTCCTAACCACTGTGCCACCGACGCACAAAATACCTTGCAATAATCATGAACTAAGTCAACTACATAAGTCAAACTGGTTGATCAGCGATAGTCAGATTGTCAGAACATAAGAATTTAGCTAAGGTAAGAACGATCGATTCCAAGTAGATAAGTAATTTAGTAAAGAATTCAGCAGGTGCACTGGATGCATTGACACACAGTGACACAGTAGGGTAGGAGAGGGTCACATTCCTAAAAGGTCATATAGTTAGGTGGAGATCGATTACTGAATTTTCGTTCATAGAATGTTTTCACCCAATACAAACAATAGAAATGACTCAATGCAAATACCAGTAATATGGAAGATATTATTAGTAGTTAAATCATAGAATCCTAAATAATTTTAACAGTTAGAAGACCATTGATTACCAGAGAGTACTGCCAGACAGATAATTCATCCTAGTTTGGAAATCATCAGCAGTATACGCCCAAGACCAGGGACCGAACATAGGACCTTTCGAGTACAAGGCAAGCTAGTTCGTATACCATTCAGCCACTGGGATCCGATTCAATGCCCTGCCAATGAATTCTAACTCCTACCAATTCGTGATTTAAAATGACCATCAACCCATGTCATCGTTGAGAAATCCATCCTCACACGTGACTGGATGGATCTCATTGGTCACCACTTCTCACTAGAACTCCAGGAAACTCCGTCATATATCAGGTCACTAGCGAGCATCAGATTAATTTTCATTAGTTGGTTTGTGTATGGATTAGCTTTGTTCTTACGGGTCGAACCCTGTCGGTGGGTGCTTAATGCCGATGATTCTCAAACTAGGATAAAACACCTGTCTGGCAGTACTCCCTGGTTTCCAATGGTCTTTCAACTGATATCAATTCGGGATCAATTTATAAATACAAATCTAATCCTTACAAACCGACTATTGAAAAAGTTAGTGTTAAAATGTATTCACTTCACTCATATAAGTATAAAACTTGGGCACTGTGCTCGTAGATTGTAACTCCATTATGGATAAGATTTTATTTTGATAAAGTCTCACATTGTTACACAGTTATATTGAATGATGACGTTTCAAGCACAAATTATTGCTCATAATCATGTCAAGTTACTCATACAACTTTTTTCCTTCATTTATGGAATCAATTATCCATATCTTATCTTATTCAACTCTTATTATAATATTACAAAATGTTATTTATTTAACAGTAAAAACACCTCATTTCCCATCTAGCTGTATTTAATTGATAACACTCATATTATTATTTCTGAACATACTTTATCCTATATTGGTTTTTATTCAAATGTCTAACCATGAATTTCATTCATGTAAATAAATGAAGCGAGAAGGTTGTATGAGTGACTTGATATGAGATTATGAGCAGCAGTAGTTTGTGCTCGAAACGTGGTCATCAGTTAATATCACTGTAAAACAACAAAAGAATGGATATCCACAGAATTTCATCAAAAAACATATACCTCCAAGCCAACCTACCAAAGCAAAAGCCACCAAGGAAAACACAAAGAAAATCGCCTTACCATATATAAAGGATATCTCAGAAATCACTAAAAGACTCTTCTAGCCTTTAGGAATTGACGTCGTACACAAACCAACAAAATCGCTTCACTCAATTCTATGTCAACCAAAAGACTCAACAGCGAGAGAAGATAAAACCAACATCATCTACAAAATAAATTGTAACAACTGCGAAAAACACTACATTGGCCAAAGTGGACGTCCCTTTCGTCTTCGTATCCACGAACATAAGTTAGCCGTCAAAAGACATGATATCCACTCCCTCATATCACTCACTGCATACAGACAACCAGGGACAGCAATTCGACTGAGACAACCAACGTTCAAATATTAGACAGCGGAAAAAACAAGAATGCTAGAGAAATTTTAGAAGCTGCCTGGCATTCTAGTGAATCATCAGTCAATAGACACATAGAGATAGATAAAATTTATCAACTGATAAGAAAGAAACTTCACTCACATAGGGTCAAAGTTCAAATCAAAGAAATAGTCAGTTCCAATACAAGTAACCTAGAAGGTGTGAAAACACACACAAACAACCAATCACGTCCAAGGTCACCAGGAGAGATGATTAATAAACTCGTGGAGAAATCTAAAAGCTCACTTCAAATTGAAGTATGCATTGGAGATGTCACCCAGTAAGGTGATGAAAGCTTCGCAAATTAACCATCCAGCTCAGAGAACAAAACCACATCATTAACTGTACAACAACACTGTGTGATGTATCAAAATAAACTTTTATCCATAATGAAGGTACACTCTACCAGCACAGTGCCCATGTCTTATGCTTATATCAACAACTTGCATTGGACTTATTATAAATGTTCTTTGTCACCAATTTAATCTCCTGCTAATCTCTTTTTTGTTTTCTCCATTCCAGATCTTTGGACCTGCTAAAAAGTTGGGCAGTCTAATCTTATTCACTACCTGTTTCTTAATGATTACGTCAACATTCAGTTTACAGTTGTTTTGTTTCTTTCAAGTATTTGAGCCAACTTTCGATAGATTCTCTACATTTCCAAAAGTAAGACAGGCAAAAATAGAAGTAGCTAAATAATTCATTTAATGGAAAATATTGTATAAAAATATTCATGAGATTGTCTTTTTTTTCTGTTTGGGAAGAACTGACTGGTGTAGGTATGAATAAAATACCACCTAAGTTGAATTAGTCATTTGCAAATTGATTAGGAATTTCCCGGGCTCCGATTTCGAAAATATTTTCACGAAACTATCTATACTTCGATAAAGCAATAAAAAGACGTAATTTGTTTGAATCGTGTATTGTGTCTTTGCGCAACTTATTTCGAACAATCTGATCACACAGACACATGGACTTCTCATGGGTATATATATGAAATTAATAAAGTGGTAAGAGGTGAGAAAAATACACTTAGGTCAAGTGAAAAGGACATATTCAAGGTCAAAATAACAATGAAGACGATTAAACCAAATAGCAGAGGTAATAGTACAACTACCCTGGCTGGTATCAAAACAAAATTTACCAAAGAAGGTTTAATGTGATGACGAATTGTTGTTGAACGCATAAAGGTGATTTAAACTCACTAATTTCTAGGCCTTCCACAAACTTTAAGATACGTCCCAAACACGTTTGATTGATAAGTGTAAAAGATCTATTTACATCAATTTTATGACCTGTCTCTGTAATATGTTTCACAACAGAAGAGCTAGGTCTCCTGTTCTCACCGTTAATAGGTTCTGAAAAATCCATTTGTTTCCGGAGCCATTTAGGAATAGGCTCTGAAGCCAGCTATTACTTGCAGAGATCGATGAGTCCTCCCTGTGTACATGTGTCCACACGTACTTTCAAATTTGTAAATACAGTGGGATGTGACATCATTTTTCGCATGTTCGAAAGGGCTTAGATAGATATAATGGCTTTACATTCTCTATTATTGTGATATTAGCTGCATAAAACGTCAGCAGCGTTCAGTCTCTGTCTAGTTATCAAGCTGCTTTGATGCCCTATATCGGGTAGCTTGATGTACACGTCTTTCTTTGCGGCGAGTTGGAGAGTAGGTATTCGGACCAATTCATATCTCCCAATGAACTTGTCTGGACAATTGTTATTAACCAGAGTTTGTATCAACTTTCTTTCTTCTTCATCAAGCGTGTTTTCAGTGCATATTTGTTGGATTCTACTGAAGAGGCACCTTTTGTACCGAATAGGGCAGAAACTGTGGTAATTAAGATACTGTCCTGTCCATGTAGGTTTTCTATAAATAGATCTTTTTATTGACCCATCAAGCCGTCGACTAAGCTATATGTCTAGGAAAGATAAACAATTATCTTCCTCTTCTATAGATGTAAGTGATATGCTATTCTGAACTCCATTCATTCATTGATGACTACGATATCATCTGCATACCTTCTATAAAGTGGCACGTTTTCGATTAAATCCTCCTTCGAAATATGTTGAGCAAATACATTACACGATTCAGACAAATTACGTCTTCTTATTGCTTTATCGAAATTCATAAAGGGAACTAATTGTTTTAAATTTTTAAAGAGAAGGCTCCCTCCACACACACTATCTATACTACTAATTATATTCTATCAGTAGTTGTCTATCATTGAACTGATTCGGCTGTTTGAGCTTATTCAAGCTGGTTAAACCACTAATGAGCTCAGCTCCAAACATACATTATTCTAGTTACTAGCTTGTATCCAGTTAAAGTATCTAATGTGGTCCTACAGGAAGGAGGTTAATCGCGAGCCCAAATTGCTGGCTCAGTGGTAACGCCTCTGACTTCATCTTTCAATGAGTGACGCAGGTTCGAATCTCAGATGAATAAGACACGAGTTCCTTCAAGGTGATTGTAGATACGCCTTGATGACTGACTGGTGAGTACCAACTAGTATGAAACCTAGGTGTTTCGAAGGCTTCCTGTATCCGATTGCCTACAACCATCTAATATCATCAAATCAATGTTATTCGTGATGGTGAGCTACTTAGAATGATGGTCATATTGCAAACTGAACTCTGACAAAATTCAGTCTGCACCAGGTGAGATGACTAGATACCTTACACTAGTTGCTAGTGTCCAATCAAACTATATACTAGTGAATAATTGAGCTGAATAGTTGCATTCGAGTCATAACAAGCAATAGTACCTGACCTAAACACCAAACGGCCATTTCTCTACTTTTGGGTGGAGCTCGTCAATGGTGTAACGTATTCACACTTCTCGCGTGTTGCTGAATTTTTCACACTTGTTATAAGCTTACTCTAGGGAATGGTATCACCAAGGATCAAGGATCTTTATGAGAATCAAGTTACTATTCAGTTTTCATTAGAAAATTTTTCAGCCATTAAGCCAACTGATTCTGTGTCTAAATACGATATATATAACCAATCGAATTCTCGCATACCAACATCTAAATATTAATCTGATAGTCAAACGCAACTGTCTGTACATAGAATATTTATTTATTTTTATTTTATTTTTGATTACAGCTTAATTCCACACTGTATTTTTGGTACAAGTAAGGAATTTTTAGCATAGATATCGGTAGCCCCAATTTCGCAGGTCGACCATAGATATCAGGTGTGCGTCGGCGAGGGCTCGAACCTCGGACCATGTGCATGGTCGGCGAAAGTCCTGACCACTGTGCCACCGACGCTAAGGTCATTTTGAGAAGTCATGTCCAGTTGATTTCATCAAGTTAGACAAGAGGATAGTTATCCGCTTATAACATTGGGTGATGGTGGATGCTTTATAAATAGTAGAATTCATGAACTGGTCAATGGATCAGTTCCCAACGTCTGAGAAGTCTGAAAGTTCACCTTATCACCGGAAGACTCTTTTTTCGAACCCATGTGGTGGGTGTGTACTGATGAAGTGTCCCAAATTAGGACGAAACCGCTTTCCATTGCTTCCATGGTGTCCCAGTGGTTCTCCTACTGATGTCAACTCATGAGCTATGGTTTGCAATGAGACCAGTTGTCATGATTATCTAAGTGGGCAAACGATTAATTAGCGTATTTTTTTCTTTCTTCATTACTAGTTGCCAATGAACGATTCTTATCTGCGCAGGTGTACATAGTAATTTTGTCCTTTAAATAACTCAGAAATAAACCACTTTATCACTTTTATTATAATCATTAATTTTAATTCAGTAATTCATTCAGATTTCGGGGATGAGATTATTTTAATTTAGACAAAGCAATAAGAATACATAATTTATCTGAACAGTGTATTGTGTATTTTTTTTCCTTCACGTTCCCAATGGAACATAGAGCATCAAGCTAGTGGCTTGAAGTTTCTGTAGCTTTGGTGTTTATTTTATTTACGGGACTGAGTTGCTAGCCTCAGGCCCAACTTTCTGTCTTCAGCAGCTTTATTAATTACTGGCTCAGTGAGGTAAAGGAATGCGTCCGTGACCGGGAATCGAACCCAGGACCAACCACATGGGGCGTGGTTGGCGGGCATTCTACCGCTGTACCACCGACACACGCACTGTTTATTTGCGCAACACTTTTCGAACAGTATGACCTCACACCTATGTCTCACAGGAGTGTACACGAGAAAATAATAAAGCGTTAATGTGTAAAAGAATAAATATATTTCAAGTTAAAAGTCAGAATAAAAATATAGATAAAGTAATCAGAGAAGGGAGATAACAGTATGTTTGTCCTGGTAACAAAACAAAATTTACTAACGAAGGTTTAATGTGTTGAAGATGGTTTAAACTTCCTAAAAGCCAGCTATGTCATCCACAAACTTTAGGATACGGCCCCAAGACGTTTTAGAGATGGGTTTAAAAGATGTTTGAACATCAATTTTATGTCCTGTCTCTGTAACATGTTTCTCAATAGAGAATCTAGGTTGCCTGTTATCACCACTAATGGGTTCTAGATATTCCGTTTGCTTCTGAAACCACTGATGAAGCCGAAACGATATCGCATCCCACCTTACTTACCAATTTGAATGTACGTGTGGACACATATACATAAGGAGAACGCATGGATCCCTTCAAGTAAGGCCTTCAGAGCATATTCCCAAATGGCTTCAATAGCAAACAAAATTCCCAGAACCCATTAATGGTGAGAACAGGAGACCTAGCTCCTCTATTGAGAAACATATTATAGAGACAGGAAATAAAATTGACGTTAACACATCTTTTAAACACATCTTTAAAACGTGTTTGGGACGTATCGTAAAGTTTGTAAAAGCCGTAGCAATTAGAAGGTTTAAACCACCTTAATGCGTTCAACAACAATTCATCATCACACTAAACCGCATTCCTTGATTAACTTCATTTTGATACGATCACAGGGTAGATGTACTATTAACTTTTAAAACAATTAGTTCCCTTTATGAATTTAGATAAAGCAATAAGAAGACGTAATTTGTTTGAATCGTGTATTGTGTCTTTGCGCAACTTATTTCGAACAATCTGATCACACAGACACATGGACTTCTCATGGGTATATATATGAAATTAATAAAGTGGTAAGAGGTGAGAAAAATACACTTAGGTCAAGTGAAAAGGACATATTCAAGGTCAAAATAACAATGAAGACGATTAAACCAAATAGCAGAGGTAATAGTACAACTACCCTGGCTGGTATCAAAACAAAATTTACCAAAGAAGGTTTAATGTGATGACGAATTGTTGTTGAACGCATAAAGGTGATTTAAACTCACTAATTTCTAGGCCTTCCACAAACTTTAAGATACGTCCCAAACACGTTTTATAGATAGGTTTAAAAGATCCGTTAGCATCAATTTTATGACCTGTCTCTATAATATGTTTCGCAATAGAAGAGCTAGGTCTCCTGTTCTCACCGTTAATAGGTTCTGAAAAATCCATTTGTTTCCGGAGCCATTTAGGAATAGGCTCTGAAGCCAGCTATTACTTGCAGAGATCGATGAGTCCTCCCTGTGTACATGTGTCCACACGTACATTCAAATTGGTAAATATATATATATATATATATATATATATATATATATATATATATATATATATATATATATATATATATATATAATTATATATATATTCCTATGACAAGTTCGTGTGTGATCAAATTGTACTATTAACTCTCTTATTTGGATTAGTGATCTTCATTGTTATTTTGACTTTCAGTATGTCCTTTTAACTTGACCTAACTCGTCTATTTTCTCACCTCTAAACTCTTTATTAATTTCATATGTATGTTCATTATAATACAGGTTTTTGTATTTCCCAATGAATGAAAAACAAAACGATATTGTTTTTACTGATGTTTCGCTATTTAATGCTAATAACTTTATCAGAGTATTATTCACATGTATGTTCCTATGACAAGTCAGTTTGTGCTGGATCAGATTGTTTAGAATGCTCCCATTTATAATACTAGAACAAGACATATAAGCGAACAATATTACTGTTTCAGGATTTCATCATGAGCTGACATTGGTTAGAGGTGGTTTAATGGTCTACGAGCTCGCCTTGTAACTAGAAGGTCCTTGGTTCGAACCATGATAGGTGCGTACTGCTGAAGAGTCCCAAACTAGGACGAAACAGCTGTCCAGTACTCCCAGCTAGTTTTCCGGTGGTTCTCTAACTAATGTCAGCTCATGAAGAAATCCTGAAACCAATCAAATCCCTACAAACCAACGCTTGAATATTACTGTTATCAATTAGATCTTCTTCAGGCTTTACTCTAATTTACACAGATTTATATATAAAAATGTTAAACCAGTGACGGTGATTTTGTGGATCAAATAATAATGTGGTAAATGTTTTGAACGTGATTAATAATGATGATTATAATGATAACAAAATATTGATAATAAGGTTCATGCAGGTGGCGGTAAGAATAACAAACGTAGTATATGTATATATGCATATATGTAGACAATTCAATAAATAAATAAATTAGGTCAAATCTCAAAAGGTGAAATGGAACGATAATCAGAGTTTAAATAAATATCATAAAACTCATTATAAATTATTTAAATTAGTCCCAGCGTGTTAAGAAAATCAGAACAAGATTTTTCAGAACATTTCCCCGTGTAAGCCACAGTTTCTTCAGTAGATTTATCTCTGCTTAATGAATCAGTCAGACTCAGCGCTTAAATTATTCCAGGAAGTTCGTAACACCTACAGTCTGGAAACCTATAAATATCATAAAAGTAAGGAGGAGATGGAAGATATGAAAGGGTGGGAAGGTTTTGAATAGAATATACCTAGGCTAAGCAAGGGAGAGACAAAGGTAGAACAAACTTCTTTTGCATGCAAAGACTAGGATTGTTCTCTCGAATTCCCATAGCTTTGGCTAAGTGTAAAAGACGGGTTCTGATTACATGTAAGTCTATGTGAATTAGAGTAAAGCCTGAAGAATATCTAAATGAAAACAATATTGTTCGCTTCTTTTTTTTTATATACAGCTTGATTCCACACTGTATTTTCGGTACAAGTATGGAATTTTCAGCATAGATATCGGTAGCCCAAATTTTGCGGGCCGACCATAGATATCAGCTGTGCGTCGGTGCGGGCTCCAACCCCGGACCATGTGCATGGTCGGCGAAAGTCCTAACCACTGTGCCACCGACGCTTATATGTCTTGTTCAAAATATGTTGCACAAATACATTTCATACACAATTCAGACAAATTATGTCTTCTTATTGCTTTGTATAAATTAATGATGTGAACGAATTGCTTTAAATTATTTTAATTATATGTTTTATCAGTAACCAAAGTCAGTTAGAGAATGACTGAAAAGCCAGGAGTATTTCATAGCTGTTTCATCCCTATTTAAGATTCACAGGTCATTCAGTTCTATCCTGGTAGTTAAATGAGCACTGGGTTTGTCTCGCAGCCTGAAGGTGTTTTAGCCAATTACTGGTGAGGTCATGGATGCTCACTTCTGAACAACCTGAAACTAGGACTTGGAGTGTTTATTAATTCCCTAAAATGACGTCAGTTCTTGGAGAAATCAGTACTGTAATTTATATGTGTTAATTATATTTTTCAAGTATTGGTTTTGTAGGGATTTTGTTTGATTGCATGGAGGATTTAATCATGAGCTGACATCAGTTAGAGAACCATTGGAAAACCTGGGAGTACTGGACAGCTGTTTCGTCCTAGTTTGGGACTCTTCAGCAGTACGCACCCACCGGGATTCGAACCCAGGACCTTCTGGTTAGAAGGCAAGCTCGTAGACCATTGAGCCACTGGGACCCGAACCAGTGGTCCTTGAATTCTAAATTAATCTGATGCTCACTAGTGACTGGCCCTATTCAGGCAGTTAACCTGGGGTTCTAGTGGGAAGCCGTGACCAGTAGGGTACAGCAGGTTGAAGATGAGGCAGTAACTCATCGAAGAAGACATTGCGAAGTGGTCGTGCTATGTCGTGAATTGGCAGAAGTTAGAATTCAAGGACCACTGGATCGGGTCCCAGTGGCTCAATGGTCTACGAGCTTGCCTTCTAACCAGAAGGTCATGGGTTCGAATCCCGGTGGGTGCGTACTGCTGAAGAGTTCCAAACTAGGATGAAACAGCTGTCCAGTACTCCCAGGTTTTCCAGTGGTTCTCTAACTGATGTCAGCTCAGGATTAAATCCTCCATGCAATTATATTTTTGACTGTGTGAGTTGGTGGCACAGCGGTAGAATGCTCGACAACCACCCTTCATGTGGTCCGGGTTTCTATCGTCGGCCACAGACACACTCCTTCACGTCGCTGAACCAGTAATTTGACTGGTAAAGAGGGAAGGTTGGGTATGAGGCCAGCAACCCTATCCTGTAAAAATCAACACCACTGCTACGGAAACTTCAAACCTCTACCTTGAAGTAGCCCGGTATTCCACTGGGATCGTAAAGGAATAAAAAAAATAGTTTGAAGTAACCTACACTCATTATATATACACATAATCACTCTTTTTATGTTTTTTTAAATAAATCAACACCTACCCGTCAGGCATTTATGTCAATGTTTCAAATACTCACACAAAAAGGTTGGGTTGCTGTTATGCATGATACAATGGACGTTGTGGAAAATGAAGCTGTGACTACAGGTGTGGCGATATACTTTGTATTCTATCATTTAGTTGTAACACTGGTAAGTATTTGTTGACTTAGATTTTCATCTATTTAGTTTATTATTGAATTGAATTTTTGATTTTCCCGTCGATTGATTGGACCGAAGTGCTAGGTCTCAGGTTGACATGTCGGCTTCTTGTGCAGATGCTTCGACGATGTCTGGGGATTTGATTTGTATCAGAAACTTCTTTATTGGGTTATATCGTTATACTATATGCATAATAATAACTGGAGGATTATAGTTATTAAAGATATTCTGTTCTCTTCGATAACTGTGAAACTTGGCCATTGAGAGTGGAAGACATGAAAAGCCTGGCTAGCTGTATTTGGTCAAAGTTGTCTGCATTCTATCCCTCGTGTGAAATGGTATAATAATGTGAGCAATACTGAGGTAAGAAATCAGTCGAGTGCTAGGTAAAGAGGGGAAATCAGTAGACGAGGCTGTGAAGTTACATCGACTGAGATAGTTAGGACATGTGCTACGCATGCCTAGCCATCACCTTCCTCGACGGGCAATGTTAGCTGACAAAAGATGGATCGGGTTGGAAAAGAACCAGTGGTGATCAAGCCAAAACACGGCACCAGTCAATGAAATCCATAACTGTTAATTTAAGCCAGTCAGCCATGTAGGAAGGTATAGACTGCTGTCTGGTTGGGGTCCTCGGGACGGTAGACACCGATGGCTGGAGATAATCGGTGATATGGCTCAAAATCTTACTCAGTAGCTCAGATGCATCCACTCCTTGTAACTTATAATACCCAATAAATCTATATTGACTTTCGGTATTACTATTCTTCTTGCCTCATATCTCTGTTTACTGTTTCCATTTTGTGTTTCTTTTCACTTTTTTCTTCCGCTTCTCTGGCTTTGTGTGCTAAGTGAAGCACGGCAACTCGAAATACTGCACATCTGTGCAAAGTCCTACACTGGAACCAGTTAGTCAGTTTCGATAGGGAAATCACTCTAAATACCACTTCAAAAGGACTATGTGTGATTAGCTTCACGTAGTTTTCCCCTGAGGTCTACGATCACGCAACACTAATCCTATCTCTTTTTTAGTTATTTCAGGTTAAATAAATCGACTTCCACTGTGTGGGCAACTGAGAAGTTACAATCGTCTACAGACTTCCGAAAGCACACAAAGCTCTCCTAATTATCTAGGTCACAGTCATCTTGCTTCTCTCCGACATCTTCTTTCCAATCTGTGATCAGTAATTAACGAGCACAACCAGAAAATTACTCCCGATAGTCACTGAATGCCATCAGGCCATCTTCATTTGGTGCATTTAACGTGATTACCCTTCAATAAATCAGACAACAGGCATCACTGACCAAAACGTTGGCATATTGATGCATTGATGTGTGTTGTGTGTTAAAGAAAACGCGTTGGAAACTCCAGTGTAGTTATTCACTTAAACCGATCTGAACAACAGAGTGAATCTGGAAAATTTACCTTGCAGATGTCGCGACGACGCGTAGATGTAGGAATAGCATTGAATAATGAGGCGGAAAAATCCCTACTGGACTAGATTTCAGTGAATTGTCGTACGTGTACTGTCCGTATGAACGCGTTCATTTGAAGAAGGTTGGTCTGCATTGCCTTTTGACGCTTTTTTATAACCTCCACCTGCAGCCTAGCCAATTGAATTCCAGAAGAAATAAAGGATGAGTTTTATCGAAAACTTTCTAGTTGGCTGAGAAATGTAAAACGCTTAGATATAGTCGTTTTGGCAGGCGACTTTACTGCTCAGGCAACAAAGTTGTTTCAGCCCGAGGAGTATGTTGATGACGACTACGGATTTCCCTGCCGATAAGCCAACAACGATGATATTTTACTAAATTTCTATTCAGATAATCAACTGTTCCTGGTCTGTACTAGCTAAAAAAACAAAGAGAGACACTACCTAGGCTGGCTACCTCCATCATGTTATCACCAACAGACTCAAAATAACCACACGGCGATAAACTGTCGCTGCCATTTTTCAGTAGAAGAATACCGCTCTTTGTGAAACACACGCGTAGACTCCGATCATTCCCTGGACCATAAACACTTATACCTACGACTGAAAGGACATGAGAAGTAGACAGCAATCAAGTTGTTGTGACGCCAACTTGATCAAGACGCTCAGTCTCTATATAAGGAAGAAACAGGTAGACGCGTGTCTGAGACTGACACTGACATTCATCTCGAGGAAGGCTGGTACAATATCATGTCACTCATAGACACAGCTGTAAGAACTGTTAGCAATCTACGATCAAAGATTAGTAAAAGCCGATAGATTTCTCCTACTTTGTCAAAACTGACAGACACAAGAAAACTAACTCCAGTGGGCTTCGAATATGACAAGGTGCAAGAGCTGGTCAAATGCAAAGTGATCAGAAGCATTCGCAAGAACCGCGACAACTGGTGAGCGACAAAAGCGGACGAGAAGAAAAAGGCGTCGGCAATAGTTAACACCAGGTAACTATCTAGGCCTATGAGGCAAACGGGTGACATTGGGCGAATGGTAAGTCAGGCGATCTACAAGTTAGCTCTCAGGCTAGACTGGTGGAATGCTGGAAGGAACATTTCGAAGAGAAGTTTAACTAGCCTACTGCCAAACTAAATTTGTTCAGCATCCAACACCCACCTACTTTTTAGAGTATTCAATACCTAGAGGCTTTTTTCAATTTATGTAGTACTTGACAGATTATAAAGATTCTTCAGTGATAGCTTTAAGGCCCATTCAAACATACTGGATTAATATTAAACCTAATTAAGTAGCTATGGAAGGGAATATCTTTTCACGTTTGATCTAGTATTGAAGTCATTTGGAGGACCACTTAAAACTTAAGAATACCGGCCCCACCGAAGGAGTTTGAATCCAACAATTCAAGCTCGCAGACCACACAGCCTCTGCAACCCGATTCAATCGCCAGTCATGAGCTCAAACATTTAACAATTCGTGATTTAAGCGCTACCTGGATTATTCAGTATCATGGGTGAGTATTTGTCCTCACTTCCGATGGGGACCACTGGTCACGACTTCTTAATAGAAATTGGGGAAATTTCTCACTGCAGCCAGTCACTAACCAACATCAGACTAATTTTGTAGGGATTTGAGTGGTTTTAGGTATTACCTCCAACTGATGTCAATTGAAGAGGTAAATAGCAGTAGTTGAATAGTCTACGAGATAGCTCGCCTTGTAACCAGAAGGTCAAACCATGAATCTCAAACTACAAAATAACAGCTGTCCAGTACTCCCTGTTTTCTTACTGCCTTTCTAACAGGTATCCATCGCTAGTCGAATTTGAAGAACAAATTCCAACTCTTAGGAATATATTGAATTGAATTCTTGATTTTCCCGTCCATTGATTGGACCGAAGTGCTCGGTCTCACTTCGCACTTCGGTCCAATCAATCGACGGGAAAATCAAGAATTCAATTCAATAATTAATATGACCCGTTGCACAAGAGGTGGCTCTCGTGGCGCAAGTGATCTAGTGGATAACGCTTTGGCGTTTGAAACTATGGGCACTGGGTTCGAGCCTCAGTGGGAACATCATCACTCACTGAGAAATGCAGGTACATCCAGCTGACGAGTCCCAAATAGGACGAAATGCGCGTTATCCTGGATTCCACTGCTAGCCACCATCCACCAATTGTCTACAAATCTTAGGAATATATTATTTGTTCAGTGATCAATCCTTTGAAATGTTTAATGGACATATCTTTATTCAATAAATTATGAATATTAATTCCATTAATTATTTTTATTGTTATCGTTATTCATATAATACAAGACTTATTCGTGATTGTTTACTGGCCTAGGCATATCTAATAATCATCATTTTCATTAATAAATAGATAAGGGAAGGGGAATAGGAAGGAAATCTTTATTTATTTATTTATTCATATTTATCCCATATCTAGATAAAGTCATATCTAGGTAATCCTCTCATCCGACTTCTCTCATCCGTTCATTCATTCATTCATTTCGCCTTTCCCGTTGTTGTTGTTCTTGTCGTCTTTTTCCGGCCTTCTTCTTTCTTCATTATCTTTAAACTAGTCCAATGATATGAATAAGAGATTCTATTATATTATATCCTATTATAGTTAATTAATAAACTGAAATGCATTAATTATTTTTCTGCCTAAAAAGGTAACTCTGTTCTAGATTATCATTTCTGACAATACTGGATAGAGACTGATGCATAATAATAATAATAATAATCGGTGATTAACATGACCATAAATCGTGTAATTCTTTCGTACCTATGACCTTCATAAATTCTAAACATTCCATTTGAAATTTACTTAGAAGCGTGTAAATACTGATCATAATATCAATACTACGGAGGTTGAGGCATCCATAGTAGTAGAATATAAAAATTTAACAGTACACTGTTCAACGGTAAAATTTACTGATGACCTCTTTTCAAGAACAATGTATTACTGCTCCTCGTCATCATATCAAGTTACTCACACACACAACTTTCTCACTATCTCCATCTAACTATATTACTTATTACTTTACGAGTTTGACCATGGATTGATATCAGTTAGAGAACCACTGAAAACCGGGGAGTACTGCCGTCGAGATGTTTCATCCTAGTTTGGGAGTCATCGACAGTACGCACTCACCCTCAGGGTTCAAACCCTGGACCTTCTGGTTACAAGGCAAGCTAGCTCGTATACCATCCAGTCCATGAATTCTTACTTCTACCAATTCATGATTTAGCACTACCATCAACCCGTGTCATTGTTGGGACATCCATCCTCACACTTGACTGGTTCGACCTGACGAGTTCAAATTAGAACTCCAGGAAACTCCATTCTGTACAAGTCAACAGCGAGCAGTAGATTAATTCCCGCCAATGACATTGTTCGGTGGTTGCGCTAAATCGTGGATTGATGGAAGTTAGAATTCATGGGCAGGCCATTGAATCTGGCTACAGTGACTGAATGTTATACGAGCAAGCTCGCCTTGTAACCGGAAGTTCCTGGGTTGGAACCCTGGTGATGGGTGCGTACTACC